CAATTTCTTGAAATTATATGTATGCACCTCTATTGACCTATTAGGTTCCCTAAACACCTCTAAGCTGCCTTTCAGAGTAAATGTAAAGTATATAAGAGAACCAATCATAAACAATAGTAAAGTGGTCTGGAAATTAATTTGGCGAAACTACTGATAGGGTTCACCACTGATGAGACAAGCTCTCTCACACACATTCAATAACTTTTATTATTGCAATAAGATTTAGAGATATTATTTGATGATATAAGTGAAAAAAACACATTTACGAAATATTATTACAAATTTTATAATAAATAATATTTTTTTTACATAAAAATTCACGACGGACACAAAATATAATGCATTACTAAAAATATCTATAGAAGGGTTCATACATTGAAATAATATTAATCTATGTTAGATATGTGAAACTATGTATGTTATATAAAAATATTATTTTATTTTAAATTATAATTTTATAGATACAAATTCTCAGCTAAATCAACCGCCAGAGGTCACTCTTCCCCTATAAAAACTCGTTGTTGTTTTATCCCAATGGCCAGCTCAAAGTTTTTGTACATTATGTAAATAATCTTTTGTTTTCCTTATTCTACTCGCCTTAAGCCAGGCATTACTTTTATCAAATTATGTTCTTTTATATATTCCTTTAGTTCAATTAAATTACTGATTTTTAAATTATTTTTATTATTATACCTTCAAGATTTAACCACGACTGCATCACCATAGCATAATCATCAAGATGATCCAAAATCGGCAGAAAATCTCTATTCATTTTTATTTATAACATATATATATCAATGGAGATATAAATTCTGATTATATAAATTTTATTCTTAGAAACAACATAAATAAATTATTGATTTGGAATAATACTGATCTATCTAAGAATAAAAAATAGACTTACGGATTTAGACACTGGACCTTTGCCAAGACGTTGATATGCTGAAAAGTAGTCGTAACAATCTGTAGGATAAGGTGTTGGGAGTTTCACCAGTTCTGTCTGCATACAAACACTGAGATGTACATGCTATAACAATTCCAGCTGATTGCATCATAAACACCTCTTCTAAACATGAATATTGATTGGTAAAAGTAACAATAAATAACTGTTAGGATTTTATAAGTTGTTTTTTCCTAGATTAGTTTATTTATATTTTGACCAGATGACTGGACGATTTTACATGTATATAAATTGGTTTTTAATGATGTAAATTAGTTAGTTATGATAGGAAATTAAAGGTGTTGAATTTCTTAGAGGTGTAGTGTTTTACTCTGCTCGATTGGTAGACTAGGAAAGAATTGGATTACTAACAGGTTATGGGCCCAGCACGCTTCCACTGCGCCGTAGAAAGAAATTAAAAGTTAAATCTAAAGGAAAAAAAAGGCTGAAGTTAAAGCTAAGAAAGTAAAGAAGTGTAGCTGAAGCTGAAGTCTGAAGAAGTGAAGGTGAAGATTGATAAAGAATAAGTAGAAAGTTTAAAGAAGAAGAAGAAGAAAATATTTGAGTTATAATTTTTTTTGTCAGATTTGCATAACTGGAAATATCAATGGCTGACGAGTTCAGAATACCTAAACTTGATGGTAATAATTATTATTCCTGGGCTATAAGAACTAAATCTATTTTAATCCAAAAGGATATATGGGATGCGATTGAGCCTGGATTTCCTAGGGAAACTACAGAAAAACAGAAGCGGAAAGATAGCTTGGCGTTATCTGTCATATTATTAGCAGTTGAAGATTCATTCCTAGATGACATCGGTGATTGTAAACGAGCGATCGATGCATGGCAGATGCTGGAGGATATCCACACAAAGTATGGATTACTACATATATTACAGCTACTGAGAGAATTTTTCAATATTGTCAAAAGAAATGACGAAGACATGAAGGAATATTTCGCGAGAATAATGGAATGCCATAGAAAATTAGCAAAGTGCCACCATGGATTTGGGGATGGCGAATTGGCGTTAATTATGTTATTGGGATTACCAAAGAGCTACGAGCCGCTGATTCTCAGTTTGGAACAGCAAGAAGAGAAGCTATCTACTAGTGTGGTTAAATCCAAATTACTTTTAGAAGAAAAAAGACAGAAACAGCGTCAAATTCCTCAAGAAGAACCTAATTGCGCTTTTGCGGTAAGAAGAAAAGAGGATACATGCAAATCACCATGTCAAGAGCGAAAAATATTTGAATATGATCAACCAAGGAATTATCATAATACGTGGACGGAAGGGAAAAGGGAAAATTATAACTACCCGAGGCAGATAAGGTGTTTCAGTTGTGGCAGGTTAGGACACATAGCAAGGAATTGCAGATTTGCCAACTCCTCAAGGAGAATTAGCGAAGGTATCTCCAGGCAGATAAGGTGTTTCATTTGTGGCAGATTAGGGCACATAGCTAGGAATTGCAGATTTGCCAACTCCTCAAGGAGAATTAGCGAAGGTATCTCGAGGCAGATAAGGTGTTTCAGTTGTGGCAGATTAGGGCACATAGCTAGGAATTGCAGATTTGCCAACTCCTCAAGGAGAATTAGCGAAGGTATGCTGAAACAAGGTACGCTAGACCTGACTCATAAGGTCCTATTTGCGAACGGCTTTGAAGACAATAATTCGCAGAATATCTGATTTCTGGACAGTGGAGCTACTGAACATGTGACGTCGAACAGACTGAAATTGACGAACACAAAAAGTATTTCAACTTCAGTAGAAATGGCTAACAATGAGAAAATAAAAGTATCAGAGATGGGTGATGTAACAATCAAACTCGGTCACGAATATGGAGGTGAAACCTTGTTCTTGGAAAACGTTTTATACGTTCCTGAGTTAGACGGAAATATTTTGTCTGTTGGAAGGATTGAGGAGAGGGGAAACAAAGTATTATTCCAGAATGGCAAGGCCTCTGTTTTTGGAAGTGATGGCGGGTTAATTTTGAAATCTAATAGAAGAGGAAGAATCTATACAGTGGAAGAACTAAAGAAGGAAGATGAAGGGGAATACCAAAATGAAGCTGCGATCCCAAGAGGATATTCAGGGACTGATGGGGAAACAATATCGGTAGAGAAAGATCTGAATAACTTAGAACGAAGAGAGGATGGAGAGCAGGCCTATGAAGACGAAGCACTGAGGAGAGAAGACGAAGGCCAGAATGAAACTATAATCCCAAGAAGATCTTCAAGAATTGCGGCTAGGCAGAAGGAGTATTGTAGATCAGCCTTCCACCGTGGGATAGTTGAACATAAGAGCCATCAAGATGAAATGCCGTCATCATACGAGGAGGCGCTTAATATGCCCAAAGCACAAAATCGGCTGAGGTCTATAGAATGTGAAATGGCATCACTTCGGGAACACAGAGTATGGGATGTTGACTTGCCAAATGGTGTTAAACGAAGACCTAACCAGGATCTTGACCACTCTAGGCCTCCGATGAGGGTATGAAAACAACTTTAAAATGGGGGGACATTGTTAGGATTTTATAAGTTGTTTTTTCCTAGATTAGTTTATTTATATTTTGACCAGATGACTGGACGATTTTACATGTATATAAATTGGTTTTTAATGATGTAAATTAGTTAGTTATGATAGGAAATTAAAGGTGTTGATTTTCTTAGAGGTGTAGTGTTTTACTCTGCTCGATTGGTAGACTAGGAAAGAATTGGATTCCTAACAATAACTTTGGTATCTCTTACTTTATAAAAAATAAGCGATGATACTGATATATACCTTCAAAAATGAGAAACTTTGAAATCGGACATTAAAATATTTTAGAGCTTGAATAAATACTGTATATACATATATATACTATTATAGAAGAATTTGATGGCTTCAATTGGGTAATATCCTATTTATTGTTTTTCTATTGTATAATATTTGACAAATATAATAACAATTATATATTTATTATTATATAAAATGAAAATTGCAAAATATACCGCGAATGTTTCTTCTAAACAAAAATCGAAATTTATTTTAAAGAGAAATAACGACTATTTCTAACTTTAAGGATGAAGTATGAAAGGGTGAAAATATGAAGAGTAATGGCGAACGGAAAAATAAAAGTGTCCAGGGGCGGGAATCGAACCCACGACCTTCCGCTTACCGGGCAGATGCCATGTCCACTAGGCTACCCTGGACATATTTTTCCGTTCGTAAATATTATATAAAGTAATTTAAAATACAATATAACGCGGCTGATGATTGTAAAACGAAAATTGTAATTATACCGCGAATGTTTCTTCTGAACAAAAATCGAAATTTATTTTAAAGAGAAATAACGACTATTTCTAACTTTAAGGATGAAGTATGAAAGGGTGAAAACATGAAGAGTAATGGCGAACGGAAAAATAAAAGTGTCCAGAGGCGGGAATCGAACCCACGACCTTCCGCTTACCGGGCAGATGCCATGTCCACTAGGCTACCCTGGACATATTTTTCCGTTCGTAAATATTATCTAAAGTAATTTAAAATACAATATAACGCGGCTGATGATTGTGAAACGAAAATTGCAATTATACCGCGAATGTTTCTTCTAAACAAAAATCGAAATTTATTTTAAAGAGAAATAACGACTATTTCTAACTTTAAGGATGAAGTATGAAAGGGTGAAAATATGTAGAGTAATTCATACTTCATCCTTAAAGTTAGAAATAGTCGTTATTTCTCTTTAAAATAAATTTCGATTTTTGTTTAGAAGAAACATTCGCGGTATAATTGCAATTTTCGTTTTACAATCATCAGCCGCGTTATATTATATTTTAAATTACTTTATATAATATTTACGAACGGAAAAATATGTCCAGGGTAGCCTAGTGGACATGGCATCTGCCCGGTAAGCGGAAGGTCGTGGGTCGGGGAGAAATAGTCGTTATTTCTCTTTAAAATAAATTTCGATTTTTGTTTAGAAGAAACATTCGCGGTATAATTGCAATTTTCGTTTTACAATCATCAGCCGCGTTATATTGTATTTTAAATTACTTTATATAATATTTACGAACGGAAAAATATGTCCATGGTAGCCTAGTGGACATGGCATCTGCCCGGTAAGCGGAAGGTCGTGGGTTCGATTCCCGCCCCTGGACACTTTTATTTTTCCGTTCGCCATTACTCTTCATATTTTCACCCTTTCATACTTCATCCTTAAAGTTAGAAATAGTTGTTATTTCTCTTTAAAATAAATTTCGATTTTTGTTTAGAAGAAACATTCGCGGTATAATTGCAATTTTCGTTTTACAATCATCAGCCGCGTTATATTGTATTTTAAATATAAAATGAAAGAATTTAAAAGCACGAATGTTTCTTTTATATATAATACAAACTTCTACTGCCCTTACTGCGATGAAAAATATATTGGGAGGGCTTGTCTCATCAGTGGCGAACCCTCCCGGCGGTTTCCCCAATTTAATCCACCAGACCGCTTCTCAGAGCTCTAATACTGTATTGGACGATTCTGCTTATATATGCAGCACTGAAGGATGGAATCTCAGAAATGGTTTTCAAGAAAACTATGGACATAACCTCATAGGACCGTATTTATTATTATATCAATATTTTTCATCGCAAGAGTAAGAGAATTAATATATATAGTATATAAAAATGTTATTTTATTTTAAGATATATATATATATCGTACTATCGTGGCGAAATCTTTTAATGTTGGTTGATAATTGATTTGAATGATTTGGGCGCAGTCGTTTGAGTGGGAAGTGCTGCATACAGGGGAAAATAACGAGAAGACACAATGTTGATTGGGTTGGAAAAAGGCAATTAATCGAGGGAGAGAAGGAGTTGAGAGGTTGAGCGAAGTTGACTATTGGCTATAACTGTTCACATGGTGATAGGATTGACTTATCTGAAGGGTTGAGCGGATGAGGATGACTCCAAAGTGGTCTCTATCGCGGCGAGCTCCGGACTTGATGGTGTCCAGCCGTTAACTGCAGGTGCTAACTCGATGGTGTCGAGCTCCTAACTCCTAATTCTGTGTTCTCGATTTAAGAAGAAAACTCTTCTGATTGCTCATTGGCTGAACATTCGTTACGTGTAAGCTCGCTATAGGTCCTTGACTAATGAGCTGCTTTCTGGTTGGTCTTTGCTAATTTCTTTGTCCTTTGGACTTGTTCTGACTTGACCAGGAAGTACTAGTTTCTTGAACTCAACTTTTATGAGTTCCGGGATAATAAAACCCTGCTAATGATTGTCCTCTCTAGGCCTTCTCTCTCCAGTTTGTAAAGCCTTGTTCTTTATTAAATCTTGTAAAACATACATTTCATACATATTGGGTCGGGTTTGCATCTAGCTATGTACAAATTATGACAGATGATATATATATTATAATTTCTAGAATAATATACTCTGTAAAGTTCACCGCCAGATATCGCAACCTTTCCCTATATAAACCTATTGTTGTTATTTCCCGTTGGCCGGCTCAACTCTTTTGTAGATATGTAAATAAGTATTTTGTTTTCTTCATTCTGTTGTTGTTGTTTCTTATCCCCTTGTGTAAAGATTACACGAATTCCATGAGTTCATGCTCCTCGAGCTTTTCTCTTCATTCTTCACGCCATAAGTAAGGTATTACCTTATCAATTATGTATTTTATATTCCTCAAGCACAATTAAATCAAATATTGATCTAAAATGTTTTATTGTATTTTCCAAGATGTCCACGACTGCAATAACATGAAATGCTCATACAAGTATATCAAAACAATATCATATCAATAGCCGACAGAATATAAAGCAAATTAATATCAACAAAATAATTTTTTGTAATATATATAGTATTATGATATAATATAATGCGGCTTGTGATTGTAAAACGACATTTTAAAACTATCCCGCATGTGTTTCTTTTCAACGAAAAATCAAAATTTATTTCAAAGAGAAATAACAATTATTTCTAAACTTTGGGATGAGGTATGAAAGGGTGAATTGTGAAGAGTAATGATAAACGGAAAAATATAGTTTTATGAATTGAAAATAAGGGTAATTTTTATGCAATATCATGAAGATAGAGGTTGCCTGGCCGGAATTCATAGTTCTAAGAATTAAAGATACTTCGGCCATTAAATATATATTTTTATTATCTCGACAAAAATAGTTTGCCCTCGTTAGGAACAAATAAAAATTAAAACATTTGGCAAGGCGTTAAAAATTATTCTGAAGTTGCAAGGGTGTTCTCAAAGGTGATAAAATATTCAAAGGACTAAATGTTTTATTTTTTATTTGTTCCTGACTAGGGCAAAAGAATTTTATCGAAACTTCGAGATAATAAAAATATATATATACTGTTCGAAGTATCTCTTTATTTGTTGTTTTGTTAATAAATATTAATTGGATAAACATTTTTTTACTAACTAAATTGTGATTGATATACCATTTTTAATTTCACCACGAGGATCTGGAAGAAGTCGTTAAGGAAGCTTTCATCTTCATAAGGATTCCAGAGAGTAAAGGGAGAGTGGAATGAGATCAAACCTTTCGTAAATTCTCGAGACATCATGTTGGGTTTCATCGTTACATAAGCCAATACACTTATTTTTGAAATCTCAGAGAATTGATGATCTGTCAACACATAAAATTAAAGTCTTAAATTTCATAATATTAGAGGTTTGGTAAAATATATTTGTGAAACTAAACAATACACAGCACAAGTTATTTATTCCAAATAAATTGTTTTCTATTGTCCTCACGGCAATAGTGGATATTGCTGCTGCTGTGATGGAGATGCATGGAGACATCTGAGACTCTTCTTTGGACACGACAACAACAACAACAACTGCAATGGAAAATTGTTAGGATAAACTGTTTCATCACCTTTCATAGATTTTGATAAACTGAACCACTTTAATAATTGCAGGCATACATCTACTATATTGCATTTGACATTTATACAGCCAACGCTACATCTCCGAGGTGTTGGAGCCAGTTGTCCTTCCTTACCTTCAGGGCTTGTCCACAGCCATATTTCAACAGGATAATGCGCGACCACACGTGGCACGCAAATTTATATTACATTTATTTTAGCCAATATTCTAGAAGAAATCAGAATTAACGATTAGTTGATCTTTATATCAGAATATTTATTTATATCAGAAACCTTTTAGTTGAATAATCACATTGGATTTTATATAAAACACAATGAAATGATTACAGTAAAATGACTATAATAAATGTAGAGGTAAATAGAGAGGACCCAGAATACAAAGTGAAGTATTTCTCTGGATATTTTAGAATGTATACAAGTGTGTAAAATTCTATTATTAACGTTGTATGTGCTCTAATAAGGAATGTATGAACTGAAAGAAGAATTCACCTTAAAGAAGAAAAATAGTTGAACCTATCTTAAATATCAGTATTGAAAGAATTTGTTCTCATAACCTTTTATTTTGAACCTCTTTTTTTCAAATGTAACATCCTAACCCTTTTTTTTTTAAATATTAAACGACTATATGAGTCAATAATACAAAGATATGATATATATTTATAGATAGTATAATATGGTTAGATCATTCCAATTTATAAAATGTGGTGCAACTGTACCGACCCCTAGTAAACAATTTGATTAGAAATCTGCAAAAAGTTAAAATTGATATGATAGACTCTTTGAAAACAATTTATAATTTGAATATTACTACTGATTCAATTTGTGTTTATAAATTTGGAAGAAAATATGTCGAAGATGAATTGATGGCAGAAGAATCTTATTTTGAAAACTATTGAACAAATTTGTTTATATTTCTATAAAGAGTTATAGCCACAATGCGGGAATTTTTTTAATCATACCTTGTATACTTGTTAATATATGAATTAAACTCAATGAAAAGGTAGAAGCTGCAAGAATATTGTTTCAAAATGAGCACATACCTGATATCAGTTTGATTTGAGGTGAATTGGTCAAGTTGGGATGGTCCACTCGTTGGTTGAATACATGGCAGATGGTCCGGTGGCCATGGTTGTCGATTAGAGGAAGAATGCGGAACGTGGAGGGGCTGTTTCAAAATATAAATCACGTATTTTACAAGGGATGTGTGTATTTGCATGATATCAGATATTCAATAAATATAAATCGTATAATATATTCCAAATATTGATGAAATTGTCTTTTCCAATAATTTTTGCACTTCAGAAAAAAAATCTATATTAAAAACACCATTTCATATTAATAGTTCAAAATCCACACATTAATATGCGTTTTAAAAATTAAATAAGAAATATTATTCTTTACTATTCGCCATAATTTATTGGTAATGCTTACTTTTGTAGAAAACTAGGAGTAAACGTGAAATGATTTCATTGAAACCATAAATACATTTTTTTTTCGATTATTTATATGGTTGAACGGAGTCAATAAAAAAAAGAAGATAGTTACTCTAAGCACTCCGAGAAGCCTCCACAAGAAGAAAGAGCATAATAATCGTCCAGATCATTCCGATATGTGTGGAAGTCTTCCCTTGAAGCAATTCTTGGAAAATTCACATAGTCTGGACGGACGGTCTAAAACAACAAATGTTCTTCAATTTAAATTTTCACCATGCTAACTATCTAACTTTTAGGTTTATTATCTGAAATATAATTTTTATCAAATCTACCAATTTTAATTATGTGAGAGTATTATTTTTATCTGAGGGTGCTATACTCAATTATTCGTTATTTTATAAAGATGTTAAAGTCATTTCTTCCATCTTTGCTTATATTAGATTTTAGGATGTTTTATATGTCCTATGACTCTTGGAACAAAAACTGTTGCAAATTTATATTAATCGATCTATTATGAGGTATAATAATGGATTTTTTATTGTAGTTAGTGTGATATAGAGGCATTCTAAAATCTGAGAGAGAAGCACAAAAAAAAAGAAAATCAAATTGAATTTACTAAGAAATTTAAGAAGAGTGAACAAATTTTAATCGCATCCTCCGATGAATGAAAGAATACAGTCTTCAAGATTCAACAGAATATATCCCAAAATCGAGACAAGTACCTTTCTTCAATTTAGGAATATATAACAGTTATTCTGACAATAATGCCAGTTAACCTATGTAAATATTTATATTAAAATGCTTCGATAATATAAAATATAAATG